AATAAATAAAATCTTTAAAAGGGTCAGGGGGGTCTAAGATAGCACAGTGGAGGGGCATGTAATCCAGTTTTGGAGGGGTGGGCCTCATAGATGCCATCTTAGATAAAATGATCTAAAGAATAAGTAGAAATCAGGTGGGCATTGAGGGAATGGCAGTTCCTGTTACAGAAGGAACAGTGTGTAAAAGTCAAGAGGTTAGGGTAGACGTGCTGGGTTTGGGAAACAAAGAGGTTTAGCAAGGCTGAAACTCCAAATCAGGGGAAGGGTTAAGAGATAAGGCTGGAGTTGTAAACGAGGCCAGCCCGAGGAGGCACAGGAACAAGGGAGACAATGAACTCCGTCTGGGACACGCTTACGTCAAGGTGCTATGGGACAGCCACGGGGGTCACCTGGGCCATCTAGGAGATCTCCGAAAGCAGCAGGATGGAGGAGAGGAGCACCCGAGAGGGAGCTCCGGACAGGCCACAGGGGGAAGACATCAAAATTTAAGCCTGACGTGCAGCTGGGGGCCCGAGGGGCTCAGTCGGTGAAGTGTGTGTGACTCTTGACTTCGGCTCAGGCCATGAGCTCACGGTTCGTGAGATGGAGCCCCCATCGGGCTCCGTGCTGAGTGTGGGGTCTGCTTGGGATTCTCTCTTTCTCCCTCTCCCCCACTTGCTTTCTGTCTCCCTCTCTCAAAGTCAACATTTGAAAAAACTAAGTGCCATTATGTACATAACTCACATTCTTTTACGAGCAAAAATAAGCACTGCGTTGTCCTAAGGGCTTTTGCGTTAAATACGTGTTGGCAGTGAAATGTGAGATACAAAGGAGACACTCGCCATGGCAAAGGATCCTACGGTCCCCTTACCTGTAAAATGGCATGGTAGGCTCGACTCATATACGCAAGCCAGGCCTGTGGCAGGAAAATCGCACGGTGCCACTCAGAAAGCTGGATGTGAACCTGCGGGGGAAAAACACACCGCCACGTAAGTTAGACTATGCGGTATGAAAGCAGAATGAAATTCTTCCCTTCCCCTTATTTAAATGATTTAGATCCTAAAAACAAACCGAATGAGTCTAGGATCAGAACCACAAATAAAATCTTTTGGCTGCTTTCAAAGGAGAAGGGTTTCGAGCCCTGTAAAGACAAAATAAAAGAAGCCTGGAATTTTCTAAATTAAAGCAAGGAGAATTCTACAACAGTAACAAGTCAGGACGCATGCGTAATACAAACGTGTCCCTGAAAGTTAGGGGGAAACCCTGCGAAGCCTCTTGCCAGCGTCAGGAAACCAGGTATCGTCTAGCCAATCCCCCCACCCCCCCTGACCATTTTTAATGAAAATAAATATTGCTCACATCCCGGATTTCCAATAGGACAGTTTTGGAAGTAATGACCTGAAAGGGGCGACGGAAACATCATGCGTAGAAACCACGACAGCAAGAGGTGCAAACGGACAAGTGCACGGGGCAAACGGGCACACCGCTAGACCGGCACCCTTTCATCAGGGTGGGTGAACAAGAGAAAGAGGGTATGTGCCAACACGGAAGCCTGGTTTCTGAAGAGAGGCCCAGACAAAACATCGCGTTTTCATAGTCATTTCTGTTTCTCCCCATTAGTACAAGGCTATCTTGCAACAAATCTTCCCAAGGCCTGCTTCTGTTAAAGGAAGATCGCTCAAGAACAACAGTCAGCATGCATCGCGTTTCACATTTCCTGTAGCTCATCTCATCCGAACCCAAACACCTGAAACGTCAGCATGGGTCCCACAGACCAAAGACGATGACAAACAACCAGGCAGACAAGTGTCCACAGAATTGCCCCAGAATCATGATAACTGGGAGTGTGTTAAGGAGATTTTGCTGTATTAGAGGAATTAATTTTCTCAAGGGCTTTGTGATAGGGAAGCGAAGAGC